CCCAAAACAGAACCCAAAGATGACTGGTTCTAAGCCAGGGGGAAATCCTGAGTCAGGAAAAAGGGGTGGAAAATTTCCACCAAGGACAGAAAGCCAGATCCCCTTAACAACCTTCAAAACAAGGGTGAAAACAAGCATAAGTGTCAGCAGCTGCATAGCAGCTGCCTGGGACCCCTCCCTTCTCAATTTCCTTCAACAAGGGGAAGTCAAGGCTAAGATGGCTGACTCAAAGGTGCCAGCCTTGCCAACTTGGCATTACTGTTGCTAACCAATAAAACAGGAATGCCTTGCATTGGGAAAATCCCAATTCCCCAAAAATCAAACCAGAATTGACAAAATACAGTACAATGGTCAAAGGTCTGCTAAATTCAACAGATAAGACTCTTGACAAACAATACACAAAGAAACCACTTCCACTGGCTTCACTTAGTCTCTCAACAGCACAAATCTATTGTTATTGGACTAATAGTTTCCACCATGTTGGTTTAGAATCATGGCAAAACACAGGGGAGGAGATGTTGCAATTTTATTCCAAGTTGCAATGTGCCAACATAGATCTACATTGTGCCTTTGCAACTGTCACAGCTGCAGGAGATTACTCCCAACACAGCGCGACATAGATCTACGTTGTGCTCTGCAGGGAGCAGCCTCCCGTTGCAGCTTCAACAGGTGAGTTTCACCAACACGCACCCTTGTAACCCTTGTACTAACCCTTGTGCAGCAAATTTAAGATTTCAGAGAATTTTTTGCCCATTAGCACTGAAAAATAGATAAAATTTCATTTTTGCACCACATGAGGCCTATTGCCTAAGTTGGGAAAAGCCCAATAGAATTTCCCAATCCTGCAGAAAATTTTCTAGAAAGGCCCTTTTTGAGTACCATTTTTCTTGTATTCCAAGCATAGAATTAGCATAGATAATTTTTCAAAACAAAATGATTCACCTTTACTAGATTTTTCTTGGCTTAAGCCTTCTCAACACAGGCATATTTCAGTGACCTTGTAAAAATCTGATATGTGGACTTTGCTAAGGGATGGAAAGCCGCCTGTTGCCATCCAAGGATTAAAACTGTCAAATAAATTAAATAAAACAGCAAAATGACAAAAGGCAGAACAATGATATGAATTATTTTGGCTTGTCAAGATTTGACCACGTCAGACACTGCAAATGATGATACGTGAAAACTAATAACTTAGTCAAATGTGGAAATAATAAAATCAATGTCTGGCCAAATCTCCATCTTGACAAAGGAATTCATCTCGAAGATAAGTAAGTTTTCCATTCTATGTTTGCATTGTTTTCTTCTGCTATTGTTTTACCACTCCAACAAAATAATTTTATGCAGTAAATATCAGTAAAACAAGATACATGCCTTCATTGTATCTGTGCTTCGATTAATTGATTTGTGGATAAGTTCAGTGATGCATTTCTGCTTCATTGAAAACCTTAGAAGCCTACATCAGCAACAAAACTTGCGAAATGCAATCAGAATCAAGGATGTAAGCATATATACAGTATATTCCGATATTGATCATCCAGAGAACATAATAAGAATGTCAAACCAAGACATATGACATCAAACACTCGAAGAAATCCTCAAGCCGTAGCACTTCATAAATACCAAGAATACCAAGATATAGAAATACATATAATTCATCGTTCTTCATTTTGAAAATTTCCCTTGTTTAAATGCTTCATTTTCCGCTGCTGGAGGACGATGATGATCCCTTTCCAGATGAAGAGGAAGAACCTTTTCCAGAACTAGAAGAACTGCTTCCCTTCTTCTTTGGTCTTGCGTCAACAACAGGGAATGAGGTCATTGCGACAACAATCAACAGAATCTGAAGAAAAATGAAGTGTGACTATTAATTGAAGCAAAACATGCAAATTTATCAATTTCCAAATGCTCAAAAAAGACATTAAACTCACGGCAAAAAACTTGAAAATCGCCAAGAAGTTCATTTTCTCAATTGATCGAGTTGAAGAGTTGCAAATGCAGTCGAATAAGGATGATTGTAATATTTTTTTGCGGCGGCTCCGCAGTGGCTGAATGATGTGAACTGATGTCTTTACCATGGGTAGCTTGCTATATTTATACAAAACTGCAAATTGGACGATGACTGTTCATTTCCGAAGAGATCATTAAAGCAATTTCATCTTTGCCGTTTTTAAGAAGGATTAATGGCTGATGATGTGAGCAAAATGCGAATCTGTCAAGGCAATACGATATCAGAGAAAGTTCTTCCCTTTTTTGCCAAAATAAAACAAGTATCATAATTTTACTCCTAACTTGAGGAATTTTGTAAATTTCACTGTTTTCTCGAAATTTTTCTCCATTGTTCACATCAGATGGAAGTTTAACTGCATTCAAAGTTAGTTTAGTTTGGATGCTGCCAGTGGAAGTTGTGCAAATGCTAACAAATTAAATTGATACCTTCTTTAATCATGTTACTAATACCAGAAAAATCCTATGATATTAAGATCTCCTTTCATTTTGGGCAATTTATGCTTCAATTTTTGTGCCTCACACAGCATCATGAGTATGAAGGTAGAAACTTCATAATTGCATATTAAAATATAACTGTTGAACTGTCAGGCTGGTTACTGACAAAGGGTTTTAGGAAAGGTTAAGAAATAGCTCAGGAATGGATTTTGGGCCTCAGATTGGGAGCCTTACACAACCCTCAACTCTTATTCAGAGGAGGTTGTGTCTCAGCATCCCAGACTCATCACAGGTCCCCAGCATTCCCATCAGCATCACCAAAGATCACAACGCAGACAACACAATAGGAAAGGACTGCGGACTGCAGTTGGACTAAGACTGAGAAATGACTGAGTGAAGCCAGATCAAAGACTGATAGAACACTGACTGACGGTGCATAATACACAGCCCTTTTATACAGGCCAGAATAACCCTGGGATTGAGCCAAGGGCAACCTAGTTGACCCTGGCTAAATCCTGTTTCCAGTGTGCGGAATTTTTTCCTCGACACCAGCGGCAGTGTCGATTTCCCTGAGAAGGGACAAATATTGTCTAACAAGGGCTTGCGCTTTTTTGGGAGAGAATCCCTGGTCGGGTAGCGCACCGGCCAATTGCTGTGTCACATTTTATTCATTTGACTTTTCAGTACTTCTCTGACCACACTTTCAAGTAACCTAAAATACTGTCATAAAATTCTGAATCTTTTTTGCTGATCCTATAATTAATTACAAAACAAGGTGTACGGCTTGAAATATTTCTTCTCGTAAAACCGTACATCCAGGCAGGTTCTTCACTCTGCCAAAGTTGCCCCTTCTGGGCCAAAAAGTTGCTTTGGAGCGCAGCGTAGCGCAGCGTAGCGCATCAGGTCATGTGCATTTTTCTTTGGGGCGTACCACGTCCCATCATGTAAGCTGTGGTGTGGGCAGGACTCAATCCTGCTGACGCCACACAGCACCTTGACCTGGCACTGGTTTGCAAACCAACATGAACAGCAAGCTTTATTTTCTGCTTTTCAGCATTCACAAGGTTCAAGGAATATTCCTGCATCCAAACCCCCTCCCTTCCCCTCCCAAATTTCTTCAAAGGTATTCTGTCACATTGCAATGGAAAACAGAGAAATAAACTGGACATGTAGATAAAAAGAAAGGAAAATATATCCCAAAATGTACAATTGCACAACTGATGTAAATACATACACTTCAATTATAACCCTTCAATTATAACCAAACAAAATGTCAGCAGGAAAATTGCAGCGTAAGGAAATTGATGAACCAAATTGAAAGCACAAGGAGCTGAGCCTGCTCCCAGATAAGGTTTTGTTGATTGATCAATTTGGAGGGAATCTTTGATTAGAAATCATATAAAGTTAAGAGTTCATCTTAGTCCTCTACAATTTTGGAAAGAGCCTTTGCATTGAATTTCTAGAGTCCCAAATCCTTTTAAAGCTCATTTTTGTAGCTATGGCAGCTACTATGTCTAACCTTGCAGTAACTTCATATTTTTCATTTCAAACTCTTCAATTTGCCTTTCATATCTGCATTGTGAATAGTGCTTCAATATGTTGGTTTCTTAGTAGAAAAAGTATGTAAGAGCTGGTTGATTGCTGGTTCCTTGCTTGTAAACCATGTCACAATCTAATCTTCTCCCACATTGTTAGCAATTAACTCACCCTGAAAATTGAGGTCGAATATATTGCCTTTCAATTGTCTCATTGAAAATGGAAAGTCATCATCAGCGTGGAGCACATCAGTATAAATTCTGTGGAACCTCCATGCAGAGAGGACAGTCAAAAGAAAATCACATCGAACCAGCAAAAATTGTGAAAAAACTACAGAGAATAGTTACTTTCGACTCAAGAATATTTAGTAACAATTAATTTCCAACTCAACCAAGCAAGATGAACTTTTCCGCAGTATTCAGGTTCATTGCTGTAAGTTGAATGCAAACTTTTAGCAGTAGATTGTTTAAATCGTTTAGCAGATTCATGTATTTTTTGTTAAATGAATGAAATGCTGTATTGTACTATGAATGTTTTTTTGAATATTTGAACTTTTTTTTTCTCTCAGATTCTGTTGATCGCTGTGACGATGACAACAATATCGACCGTCGATGCCAGTCCGAAGAAGAAAGGAAGCAGTTCTTCTTCCAGCTCTGGGAAAAGTTCTTCATCATCTTCTGGAAAGGGATCTTCTTCTTCTGGAAAGGGATCCTCTTCTTCGTCCAGCAGCGGCAAATGAACTTCCCACCAAAAAAAAAGATGAAAAACGTTTCCGAAGACAGGAAGAAACTTGACTTCGAGAGATCATTTCGCCATTATTTTTTCAGAAATCCTATTTACTTCCATTTGTTATCGAAGAAATATCTGGAAAAATACATTTTCACACGTTTCTTTTTTCTAACTTTTCGTCAAGTCTTGGAAATCGTCGAAAATATTTTTCGATCTCGGTGACGCTTTCCAGATAAACTTTTGCATCAAAATATGGAAACTCTACAAAAATAAGATTTCATGAAGAGTCTTCCAAATGATCAATCCAATATCATGAGTGGAAAACGTCGGTTCTTCTCGCTGCTCTTGAACAAAATAAGGCCTTTGACAATCCTTTGCATCGTTGTGATGATGGTCTTACTGATCATATTTCACCATCATAACAAAAAATCAGTGGAAACCCGTAGATTTTCAATGGACTGGATCAAAGGCTTGGAAAGACCTCAAAGTTTCGAAGGATTCAAATCAGAATTATTCACGAACGAAATAGACGCAGTAATTAATCCTTGGCTGGCCCGGCTCAAAATTTGCACGGACAGGTTGAAAATGACGCTAAATATTTGGGACTCGAGTCGCAAATCGCCCGAGGCTTCAAAAGTGCTGAGCACCAGCAATGATTACTCTGGGCTAATGAATGAGTCCCTGAGTAATGATGACGACTGTGAAAATGGGACAAGGTGGGCTGTGATCACAACAATAGCCGAGACAATGACGAAACCCATGGAAGTTGTGCTGAGTCAGGGCTGGTGTTTGGTTGCTGTCGGTGATGTAAAAAGTCCCGCCAATTTCAAAGTCACCGTCAGAACGTCAAGGTGAATACATAAGAGTACTTATTTCATGACCGAACGAATCCTATGCTGTCGAAAAAAAAAATTCTTAAAAAACACAAAAATTTACATCAGCGAAATGCGTTCGATGTCTCCCAGCCAAATCTTCAACGACAAAATGCTGATTTAACATTTTCATAAAGTAGTTCACTATATATATGGTCCAGTAGTACAATAATGAATTGATAGTTTTGTGATTTTCCCAACTTTTTCTCATGTTTTGGGAATGAACTTTTTTTCCTGTAGAAAAAACTGCACTTATTTCTTTAAAAATTAATTTATTCTACTTTGGAAACCGCAACTTTGCTCGAGCATGATGATTTCTCCAGAACCCAACAAAGTTTTGAATTCATTAATATTGTATTTCAGTAAAAATCGAGAAAAAATCTCATATATACTTCGATGAAAACTTTAAAACAGCTCCTTTTGTGTTGGATGTCCAGAATTTTTTTCAACATTTAAAGAATTTCAAATTGTGAAAAGCAAAGAAAATATGACTCGTCTCACGAAAGAATGATTACTTGTTTTTTGTGGAATAGAATCAGCAGCAATTACAGTACAATTAAGTTGGCTTGAAAGACGACCGTGACGCAAATTAGGCAATTCACAATATTTATTTACTTTTCACGTGCCCTTTACATCTTATTAAGCTCAAGTGCTACAAATAGTTTTGATAATTGCAGTGATGTAAGAAACAATGATAGATTTTTTTAGAAACAAGTATGAATGGCAGTGCGAAATTTAAAAAAAAAATACCGTGAACTTATTCAAGTAATTTATCTTTCAAATAATTATTCCCAAACATTCTTGACAGTTGTTACACAAATTTTCAGAAGTTCTGTTCATGTTATGATTCACCAAAGATTCAAACTCTCATTTGACATGGTTATTCTTCTGTATACAGCGTGACACATTTTTTGAATACAGTACTTAAAAATGAATTTTAGTTTATGCTAATCGTTCAACGTGCATTTCATATTCAAGGGATACATTGAGAATACATTTTAAAATGCCATCCTGCAATAAAATGGATTGTTGCAACTTTTTTCAGGTTTATCTTTTTGACAGTCCAGGATCAAATGCGGTTGCCCTTTAAAATCGTCTCAAAGACCCCGAAGAATTCATTCATGCGGAAAAACATCGGCTATCTCTTCGCAATGTCAAAAGGAGCAAAAGTCATTTTAGACATTGACGACGACAATGAGCCAATTCCAGTTAAAATCGGCGATGACAAGAAAATATTCATACCCGTCGAAACTGAGCTAAAAATATATCAAAGGCCTCTATTGTACAAGGAAAGCTATCTGACTGTTGTGAGAATGACATTCGATGCATTCATTATTTCAAACAAACAAAGAAAATTCTGAATTCAAATTTTTTTTCTCTTTTTCGTTTGATGAAGTCAGCGGATTCACCTGTTTGGAACCCATACGTCCATTTTAACTTGACCCAAGCCTGGCCACGTGGGTTTCCTTGGGACTTCATTCCGGGCTTAGTGCCTACTGAAATTGGCAGGACGAAGGACCAGTTTTGCAAACCAGTTATTCAGCAATACATTGCCGATATTGAGCCAGATGTCGATGCCGCATTCCGACTGACTGAAAAGCTTCCGATTTATTTTGAACCGGACACCGATCGTCAGACGATTGTACTTCCTAGAAACGTCTTTGCTCCATATAATGCTCAGGTACGAATTGAAATTGAAAGTAAATACATGCTGAATAAAGAGCTTGATATTTTGAACAACATTACGATTTAATTTTACTTTTAAAGTTAATTTTGTAAAGTTAGTAGCTATACATGGTATGTTTAGAGTAGCCTGGAGCCTTCTTGTATACAGGGCATTTCAATAAAGACAAATCAACAGCTTGAAATTGAAAATAAAAACGAGCTGCGATGCATTTCTGGATATTTTATCTTGAAATTGTGATTGTAATTTTAAAACAATAACAGGTATAGAACTGTCTTAGCTGGTGCTTGGAACCCTTCCATTGAGGAAATTTCAATATTAAATTCACAAAAACATAGAGCCCAAAACGAGTATGTGCCACAGGCTGGCTAGCAACTTCGTTTTTCAAAGCTTAAGAAGTTAAATTAGATTCACACAATTTCCATGAGGGTTCAATAATTACCCTCTCTGAAAAAAAAATGTAAATTCTCAAACATGCACTTCAGCACAACATGTTTTAGCAGTCCATTTTAGAATTATGGGATTTTTTCTCCTGTTTTAGGTATTTCAATGATTTTATTTTTGTGAAGTTCTTGGACTTTTGTGGAAATATTTTCATGCTTTCAAGTATTTTTTAGTGATATACTGTATGAGGGTTCTAACAAAAGTTCTCGGAGTAGCAATGGAAATGGCATACAATTGAGCTGAAAAAAAATTTATTCTCTAGCTAAAACATATTCTTTGGCACACACAAAAATCAGCCCGGTTTGAAATTTTTTTTTTAATTTTTTGAAAAATTCATCCATATAGAGTTTTGCTCTCCACTCAAAAACTGAGGCACCTTTTTTCTTTGTAGCCCTGCTTTCCCCTCAGAATTTTTGAAATCAACTTGACATTCTTTCTAAAGCTTGCCTCCAGGTCAAGCAAGACAATTCTGCCATTTTCATCAACAGCCGCCTTCACAGCCACCAAAGTGGTGGCCAATGTGGCAGCTGTGAAGGCAGCCGTTGATGAAAATGGCGGAATTGCCTTGGATGACCTGGAGGCAACCCTTAGAAAGAATTTCGAGTTGATTTCAAAAATTCTGAGGGGAAAGCAGGGCTACAACAAAAAAGGCGCCTCATTTTTTGAGTGGAGAGCAAAACTCTATATGAATGAATTTTGCAAAAAATTTAAAAAAATTTTCAAACTGGGCTGATTTTTTTTGTGTGCCAAAGAATATGTTTTAGCTAGAGAATAATTTTTTTTATCTCAATTGTATGCCATTTTCATTGCTACTCCAAGAACTTTTGTTAGAACCCTTGTACAGATGGTACCTTGTAATTTGACCTCATGCAATTTGACTGTCCTTGCAATTCAAGCTGAATTTGCTGGGACAACAACTTGCAATTTGACCTCATGTCCCACATGTTGGGCCGGTATCCTAGGAAGGGTTTAAGGAATAAAACACCCAATGCAGCCTTTAACCCTTGCAGCCTTTAACCCTTGGATGGTGGAGGGTTCATTTCCATTGTGAGGCAAAGTTGGGATATTTCTGAGGGGTGGAGCATTTCAGTTTGACCCAAGGTTGCTGAAATGCTCCCACTTTGAGAAGGCCTAAGTTGGGAAAAATCCCAGAGGCAAATTCTATTTTGTTTTCAGGAATCTTCCATGTTGATCCTATATCAGGAATGCAGGAAAAAACGCTACCCAATGAGGTATTTTTTTATTTTTCAGCAAAAATGTTCTGCTGGATTTGAAAAAAATGTCGGACTTTTTCCGGACTCAGGCCTTTTTACAAGAGTAGCATTTTTAAATTTCCAGTTCTCATTGACACCAAATTTTGCAAATATATCCCAACTTTGCTGCACAAGGGTTAAGGAGGCTGGATCCTCCTTAAAGGGAGTTCCTCAGAAATCCTCTTTTACTTCTCCAACTCAGACCTAACTGCAGTCCCTCCAATACAGTAAAACAAACAGTCCTACAAAAACTTCTCACACTCTGAATAGAACAAACACACACAACAGGTCATATACAAAGACAGTTCCTTGGTAGGTCTAGAGGCAAAGCTGGCAAGTGTTTGCTGGCTTTGCCAACAATCTTGCAGAAGCAAGAGAACAATGGCACTTGTGCCAATCCAGTCTAATTATCCCAGTTCACTGCAATGTGGCCAACTGGGTGTACAGCAGGGACCTCCACTGTGAATACCTGAGGTGCCACATGGTTATTGATGTGCCCCAAGCAAGGATGCCTTGTTTGGGTCACATTTGCAACCCCACCCCACAATTCATCTTGCAGAGAGACTCAAAGTATCAAAATCTATGTAGGAAACATTGAATTACACATTGTGTCACAATTTGACTGCTTTGCAATTCAGCCCTTATACCCATTAATGGATTAAAGTTCAATTGCAGGGTACCATCACCCTTAGTATTATTTTTATTGATATGCAAGCTTTATTTGCTGCTCTTAGCATTATTCACAGAGTTCTGAAAATTGCAATGATGTTCAGAAGTATCTTTAAAAATTCCACCAAATGAGGAATTGTTCCAATTTTGCAGAGGACATTTTCTGAAATCAGAGGTCAAACATGTTGTAGACCTATAGGCTATGTTCATCAGTTCATATTTTTAATTTGAGTGTTCTTGGGCTCCATATTTTGCAAAAACAAAAACCCTGCCTCTTTTGCAGAAGGGTTATATTTTTGTAGAATTTTTCAGACTGGAGAAGTGAGGAAAATTTGATAAAATTTAAATTGAAAAAGTGTGTTCCACAATCCGCAAAATACCTTAATGGAGGCAAATTTGATCAAAATGAAGGCATTTTATGCTATAGGCAAGCTTGTCTCATTCTTGATTTCCTGTCTGTCAAAAAAAAAAACTGAAATACAGGCAACAGTGCACTTGAAAGAAGCTTTCTGGTCCATGATGCTGCCAATCAGTGTTGATGGAAGAGTATCAGATATTTGGAGGTCCTACATCACCCAGAGTTTGCTTCATCTGCAGCCAGAGGCCTGCGTCATGTTCACCTCACCAGCTGTTAAACACGTTCGGAATCCCCACAATTATAAAAGAGATTTTCTCAAAGAATTGCCATTGTATGGAAAAGCTTCCAGGTTTGTGGAAATTGTTCGAAATTTTCCGCAAAATCCAGAGACTTTTGGAGAAGCCTTCTTGAACGTGTATCAGTTGCTCTTTAAATCAGGTGAGTTCTTCCTTTTGGTACCCGAACATTTTTCCAAACGATTCTTTTGATGAGTCCTTCAACTTTTTTCTGTGTTACTCTCCCAAATTATTCATAAAGTCAACTTTATTTTCTGTTGGCATTTTAAAATTTCTAGAATTTTTTCTTGAACTTCTTGGCTGCTTCTGATTTCCCTGAGTTATGTATTCACGGTTGATTCTTCAGCCTCACTCATTTATTCTCATTTAAAATATATATTTTAAATAAATGTTTTCACCTTCATCTGAACGGCATTATTTAAACCTTTTTGAGTTTGGAAAGGAAAATTGTGTCGCATATAGTAAATGCACCTGATGAAAATCATGGAAAAGTTACTTATAAAAAAACCAGTGATTCGTTGTAAAATAAAATGGAAAAAATATTTGATTCCTCTTTGAACTAATTTTCGGGAAATCCAAGAAAACTAAATGAAATCTCTTCATTGTTGAACTTTTGGTATGTTACAAATAATAACCATCATCATGATGAGCGAAGATGAAATATTCATAATACCGTTTCATCAGTTCAGAATTGAGTTTTTCGGTCTTCAAAATTTCTTACATACCGTTGTTTACATGCGATTTTTTCGAATTTTCTCTGAAAAGTATGATTTCCTTGATTGTTTATATAGCAGCTTGAATATATATAATGCAGAAGAATTCGAAAGGTGTAGAATTGACTTTTCAGCCAGTCAATTGCACTTTTTTAATTTTCATCTGTTTGTTTAAAAATCAACGTGAAATTTTCTGATATACACTCTGTGCTTTATTAGTTTTTATTTCTTCTAGGTTTGCTTCAAGAAGATGACGTTGACTATGCCAATCTCTGGCTGGAAGATTTGAAATCACTGGGCGTCAGTCTGCCAAAAATGATCCCAAAAACCGTGTTTACTCGACAAACGAAACTTTGCCTTAGTTTCGTTGAATCGAGGGAAAATTCATTTTTGAAAGAATTCGAGACTAAAATTTCCCCATTCTTCAAAAACGTGGTCCGTTTTTCCAACGGGAGAAAATCGAATGACGTCGAACAAGTGGGAATTTCGGAGAGTTGCAACTCGAAAAACAGCGGTTTTTCGAGAGGGAACTGTTTGAAAAATTGCATTTCTATGGCAGGAAATCATTCAACGTTTTTTACTTCGCCAGACGCGTTTGTAAATTATTCCATGTTGATTCAAAGTGATTTTTCTGGGGACAAATTTTGGTTGCCTCGGGCTACGGAGCGTGAAGAAAGATTCGTGGAGGACCCAGTTGTGTTGGAAGAACTTTTCCGGAACATATCGAGCAAAATAAACGTCAATTTTCCGATAAATTTCAAGAAAAATGACCGATTACACCGGAAATACGCTGAAAATTTAGTTTATATCCCAGGAAAAATGCTGAGGAACATGAGCCTAGTTTTGGGAGTGGTTGAAAATCTCAATCCGAATTTATCATCGGGAACTGTGACGTCATTGGTTGTGAGCCTCGTTTCTGAAATGGAAGGCAACGAAATAATGTCCCCTCAAATTCAAACAAAGGAAAAGAAGATTTCGGGTGAAAATTCGCAAAGAATTGCGTTGAAAAATGACATTTTTGTACGTCCTTTGTTGCTTGAGTCACCGGCGTTGCGAAGTTTGTGGCGAGACGCGATGGCTGAACAATTTATGGGCCTTGTTCAAGAAAACGTAAAATTTGAATAATAAACATTAAATCATCGATTGTTTCGTTTTACTACAACATTCAAAATTTTTCGGAGCACTTATTGATCATCATCATCGTTTCCAGCGGAAATTTTGTTTGGAAATTCTTCTGCTCATTGAACAGAACGTACTTCAATAAAACCTAAAATTCATAAAACTTCGGAATTTCCTGGATTGTATCATCATCAATTTATCATGAGAAATATTTTACTCCCATTTCAGCGTTTTATTAAGGTTTTTGGTTTTTAATTTACGAATTTTCAAATAAAATTTCGATTCGCTCTATTCATTTCGTGGAACTAATCTTCAACAATTTAAGCACGAAAAATTTAACAATTTAAATTTTCACACAAATTTATTCAGTGCTTCCTTAATGGCAATATTTTTATATTTGTCCCACTTTCTGTTACTTTCTTGAAATATCCTCGCCTAAAGTTTTGATGCTTTCAAGAGGCAATCGATTGATTTCCAAATATATTTCGAGAAGTTCGTATCATCAATTTATCATAGGAAATATTTTACTCCATTCAGCTTTTGATTGAGGTTTTTAAGGTTTTTGGTTTTAAGTTTCGAATTGATCCTCGTGACACCCACAGGCGCTGAGAATTCCGAATAATTGCATCATCTAATAATTTAATAATTGCATTACGCAGAATACCGAAAGTAACTGAAATTATTCATCAAGGGGTTATTGGTAATTCAAAGTGGGTGATTTTGCCCTTTTTCTCTATAGGAAACATTTTTTTTTAATGTGGAGTACAGGAAATTACGCACACAACGTTTCCAAATCATCGCATTGAATGTACCTTTTTTTCGGCGAATTTAATTTCAAGCATAAACACGCCCAAGATGCTTTGATTTCTCATTCCGACCTTGAGCTGTTCGGGATGAGGAAAAAAAACGAGACATGATAAAATCTACGGATAGTTGGCACGCAATTGTAGGAAGTCCATGAGCTCTGTAGAGAATGCGAATAATTTTCCGCGTGATGTAGTTGAAAGAAATCTTTGGAGCATGGATAAAGGCTACGGGATCCGGAAGTGCCCTTCACAAAGCTTCGTTTTCCCACTTCCGGTTGTCCGAGAGCAAATTATTCCGCATGTTTTCATCTGCTATGGGACACCGACTCTTTAATCGTTATTTTAATGTGAGAACATGAAATTTTCTCCGGAGTAGTAAGAAAAATTATGGACGGTTCCAGTGACGGTAAGCACATCAATCTGACCCATATACCAGATAAAGTGGGAAATTCTTTTTTTTCGCGCTGTTTTCACCCTAAAGATGAACTTTTTCATTGTTTTCAAGGCGAGTCCGAGAAGAGTGATTCATTGCAGCCACACGAAGAACATCGTTCATGTACAAAATGGGGAAAACATAGCACTAGGTGAGCCTGTAAGACTTTCGAAGCTTCGAGTGACCTCTGTGTACAAAGATTAGAAGATTAGACGGAAACATCTTCTTTCCTTTTAAACGGTGGCTCTCGGATAGCTTTAATACGCTGCAGACGAAATGCACTAAGAAAAAACATTTGGGACCTGCAGAAAATGAGAAGTGAATTCACGAATGTAAACACATTCGTTAATAAGTATACAGAAATAAAGTACACAAATTCGTGATTATCGTGAATGACTACCTGATAATAGAGAAATTTTCGAGATTCATAAAGTAGATGTCGCTATATATTAGCGTTTGGATGGTGATAATATGCCTCCATAGAAACAATGATAGCATCTCACCTTGAAAAGTTGAAATATTATTCGGAACTATTCAGTATTCAGTTTTTTATGTAGTATGCAGTAGTACTTTATTTCTCTTTTATAATGCTGTGCATGATGATTACATGAAAGTGCTGATGTGATGAATGCCCAGGATTTCAATTTTTTCTTGTAGTATATCACATTTAAAATACATGATGAAAATGATAATTGCTCTGAAAGAACGAATGCATCACGTGAAAATATCTTTACTCGATCTGAAAAAAATATCTGTTTTCTCAGTTTTTGTGATTACATATACTGTAGCTCGTTTTCTTCAAAAAATATCAGAAGTAAAAAATTATATTTTTCAATTTTTGGGAAAATTTCAGAGAAATGTCTTTAAATTGAGCCAATGTCTGGATGTTAGATTGATTTTTTTTCAAGCGTGCCTAAGTTTAATTTTCTGTATGTCAGAGGATGTCCGCATATTGGTGTCTCATCACTATCTGCATTTCAAGGTTTATCCATACTTTGATATGTACTACAGTATGTTTCATTCCTCTCCGTTTTGAATATATATTCCTAAAATATTCGTCTTGCAAGTTTTCCTGAAGAAGCCTCCGCGGAGGAGAGTTACCACAGCTATGAGTTCGAGCTGGGTTCCACCCGCCCATTGGCGGGCATTGGGCACCGCCATCTTCAAGTCAAAGAGCTGCAAGAGTGTCAAAGTTCTGCAGGCTCGGATGATGACCCTCTTCATCAGCCAACTGATGGTTCGATGAGCTTCGAAGTATCTCCGGGTTACCAAAATGTTGATGAAGCAGGATACGAGGAGGAATCCCGTGAGTATTGACAAACTCCCTTTTATTTTTTCCCAATTTTTGTAACATAAAAAGCATAACATTTTCCCTGATATATTTTGACTCGATTATCGTTTAGCAAGAGTGCAACAGCAGGCTGGGCGTAATGGGCTCGAAGTCGTCAGCAGAACCGGAGGTGGTTTCGATCGTACGTAAAAAAAAAAAAATTGTAAATTTCTACTGTTTCAGGATTTTGTTTCAATGCCCCAATTTATTATTAGCTAATGCGACAACCGGGTCATTTAAACTGGATGTGCCCAACATCAAGGGTTTGAAGGCCATGTACCCCTCAGCCCCCTTTTTTGCTGTCATGACCCCGTGGAGGGTCGTTGCGAAGCCGTTTCCAGCAAAGGTATGTTCCTTTCCGCTTGGATAGATGTCGCTACACTCCAGCAAGCAGCAGGAGGGACCCCACCGTTTTTGAAATTTTAAAAATGCTGTAACAGAACCTTGGCTGATATTTTTGGTGGAATACACTGTGGGGCCTCAAGATGCGGACATAACTTCCGGATATCGGAAGTTTGTTTTCCCCCAGAATTTAATGGGAATATATACCTCGAATAAAATAATTTTCTCAACTTCAAAAGGCAGAAAATTACGGTGCCAAAGAAAACTGCACATGATTTTATGGTTTGGCATGTAAAGGAGCCCGAAAAGCAAAAAAAAAAAAAACTACAAGTCTTCCTATAATGGGCTCAATTGAAGGAAAGAACTCTGAAGAAGAAGCACAAAATTATCCTGTTTTGGATAGTGAATTTATCATAAGCTTTTTATTTTCTCAAGAAGAAAAAAGAAAAAATTGGCTCAAGGCATCTAAAATTTGAACACTTTCAAACATTTCTAGATGAAGAACGTTGTGTCCTTAATCTCCTTATATTGAGACATTGTCTGGATTTTTGGGTACAGGTTTTGAGCAATTATCAAGTTAGCTGAAGTAGAATCGTCCGCATGTCGAGGGTTATGAATTTCTTATGTATTCCTGGGGACTCAGACAATAAACATCTGTACTCTTTTGAAACACGGGTTATTTTCCAGGTTTTCGTGTTTGAAAATGAATGCAGTGCCCTGAAAATTCCATATATCCTGTTTTTATTGCATATATATAGGGCAAGGCAAAGTATATAGGACTTTACATTGCCTGCGATGCCAAGTCCAGCAACAAGGAATGGAGTATCAGCACGGACTGCGAATTGCGAATTTATCGGCCGAATGGATCCTTTTTCTCCAAAAGTGAGAAGAAGGAATTTGTTTGTTTTTTTTGAAAACCCACTATTGTCGCCAGCGCCAATAATTTTTTTCCACAGCATTCAAACACGTGTTCGTGGATAAAAAGCGAGAAAAGGGCATCGATCAGTTCGTGACCATGAATGACCTGAAGCAGTATCTTTTCAGAGACAAGGGCTTAGTTGAGGTCAGGGTTTTTTTTTTTTAATTATCAAGATATCGATTTAATTTTTCAGNGGACCTCTGCGACCAATTCAGTTCACCATGGGTTTTTTTCTTGGGGCCAAGGAAAACCTGCTCAAAGTTTTATTATAGAAATCTACTAAAATTATTTTATTCTTTTTAAAAAATATTCTTAAAATTAATTTTTTCACAAAAGATTGCATTGTCATCAGTTTCTAAGCTATCCTGAAAGTTTCAGCTTGCTAGCTAGTCTGGAAGTGAGTGAAATTTGAGTTTCAAAATTTGATCCTGACAAACAGACAGACAGACAAGAAAGTGAGTTCATAAAAACGTGGTAAAATGATAATCGCTCTGAAAGAACGAATGCATCACATGAAAATATCTCTACTCGATCTGAAAAAATATCTGTTTTCTCAGTTTTTGTGATTACATATACTGTAGCTCGTTTTCTTCAAAAAATATCAGAAGTAAAAAATTATATTTTTCAATTTTTGGGAAAATTTCAGAGAAATGTCTTTAAATTGAGCCAATGTCTGGATGTTAGATTGATTTTTTTTCAAGCGTGCCTAAGTTTAATTTTCTGTATGTCAGAGGATGTCTGCATATTGGTGTCTCATCACTATCTGCATTTCAAGGTTTATCCATATTTTGATATGTACTACAGTATGTTTCATTCCTCTCCGTTTTGAATATATATTCCTAAAATATTCGTCTTGCAAGTTTTCCTGAAGAAGCCTCCGCGGAGGAGAGTTACCACAGCTATGAGTTCGAGCTGGGTTCCACCCGCCCATTGGCGGGCATTGGGCACCGCCATCTTCAAGTCAAAGAGCTGCAAGAGGGTCAAAGATCTGCAGACTCGGATGATGACCCTCTTCATCAGCCAACTGATGGTTCGATGAGCTTTGAAGTATCTCCGGGTTACCAAAATGTTGATGAAGCAGGATACGAGGAGGAATCCCGTGAGTATTGACAAACTCCCTTTTATTGTTTCCCAATTTTTTATAACAAAAAAGCATAACATTTCCATTAATATATTTTAACTCAATTATCGTTTAGCAAGAGTGCAACAGCAGGCTGGGCGTAATGGGCTCGAAGTCGTCAGCAGAACCGGAGGTGGTTTCGATCGTACGTAAAAAAAAAAAAAATTTCATACATACTCTTTACGGATTTTGTTTCAATGACCTAATTTATTTTTAGCTAATGCAACAACCGGGTCATTTAAACTGGATGTGCCCAACATCAAGGGTTTGAAGGCCATGTACCCCTCAGCCCCCTTTTTTGCTGTCATGACCCCTTGGAGGGTCGTTGCGAAGCCGTTTCCAGCAAAGGTATGTTCCTTTCCGCTTGGATAGATGTCGCTACACTCCCGCAAGCAGCAGGAGGGACCCCACCGTTTTTGAAATTTTAAAAATGCTGTAACAGAACCTTGGCTAATATTTTTGGTTGAATACGCTGTGGGGCCTCAAGATGCGGACATAACTTCCGACATCCGGAAGTTATGTCCGTGTTGTGTTGTTTCCCCCCAGAATTTAATGGGAATATATATTTAATTGGTTCTCCTCGATGTGGATTGAAAATAAAGAAAAGGAGACCCCCAAGAATTGAATAGAATGATTTTCTCAACTTCAAAATACAGAAAATTACAGTACAAACGAAAACTACGCATAAGTTTATGGTTTGGATTGTAAAGGAGCCCAAAAAGCAACAAAAAAAGTACAAGTCTTTCTTTATTGTGCTAAATTGATGCTGGAAAGAACTCTGAAGATCGAAGTAGCGCAAAATCATCCTGTTTTGGATAGTGAATTTATCATGAAGAAAAATTCTTTTGAGATTAGAAAAAGCTTAATGTGTTTGAGATATCAAAAATTTGAACATTGAGGACACTTTTCAACATTTCTAGATGCAAAACGTTGTGTCCTTATCTTGAGACATTGTTTGGATTTTTGTGTACATTTTTTGAGTTATCATGTTAGCATGACTTTCTTATGAATTCCTGGGGACTCAGACAAAAAACGTCTGTACTCTTTTGAAACACGGGTTATTTTCCAGGTTTTCGTGTTTGAAAATGAATGCAGTGCCCTGAAAATTCCATATATCCTGTTTTTATTGCATATATAGGGCAAGGCAAAGTATATAGGACTTTACATTGCCTGCGATGCCAAGTCCAGCAACAAGGAATGGAGTATCAGCACGGACTGCGAATTGCGAATTTATCGGCCGAATGGATCCTTTTTCTCCAAAAGTGAGAAGAAGGAATTTGTTTGTTTTTTTCGAAAACCCGCTATTGTCACCAGCACCAATAATTTTTTTCCACAGCATTCAAACACGTGTTCGTGGATAAAAAGCGAGAAAAGGGCATCGATCAGTTCGTGACCATGAATGACCTGAAGCAGTATCTTTTCAGAGACAAGGGCTTAGTTGAGGTCAGGGTTTATTTTTTTTAATTATCAAGATATCGATTTAATTTTTCAGGCTTATTATTTTATTTTTTTTTTATACTTTGCCTCAGGGTGTTGTGAATTGTCAGCCACCGAAAAATGTGGAATGGGACAGCAGGAAAATCACGGGATACGTCGGGATCATCAACCAAGGGGCCACTTGTTACATGAACTCGCTGCTCCAGGCTTTGTTCGCCACTGCTGAATTCCGCTACGTGAATTCCCTCTTGCAAATATATATATTTTTTTTCTGAAGAAAATGTTTCAATTGAAATCCGTAAATATTTATCCTTTTTCTCTTTCCTTTTTTTATAGACAATTTACAAGATACCGACGGAGTTTGACGTCAAGATAAAGAGTCCGGCTCAGGGAATGCAGAGGATTTTCTATCATATGCAGTTTAGCCCCAAGGCTGTGGAAAGTGTCAAGCTGACCAATTCTTTCAACTGGACAAAGGATGATGCTATGATTCAGCAGGATATCCAGGAATTTTTGAGAATGGCAAGCACATTTTTTCATATTTTTTTTTTTCAAGTCTGAATGCAGGAAAACTTATTGATTGTAATTCGGCGGGCGAAAGAAATCACTGTTTCCCTCAACCGAGAATCCTGATTTGTTTGACTAAAAAAGATCTTCGGATATTCCTGGTATTTTTCATTCGTGAAATTTTGCAAGAAAACGTCAGCATTCAAATTAAAAGTGAGCAGCATGTCGCACTTTTGTTTTTTTTTGGATGTACCTGATGTAGTCTGTGAACCATAAATGCAATTGCCATTTATCTAGTAGTAGAGCATCCCCAATGAAATCTTTCCTTTCACTGTGGTCTGTGAGCCTTGGTGAGTACAAGATCAACAGTGACCTAGAGTCCTAGATAATAGAAATTTTTAGGCACAAAAGAAAAATACAACCTTCCGTTTAAAGAAAATTGCAGTCTATGTCAAAGGGGAATGAGAAAAATCTACTGTGATTTTCAAAATGTTCTTCAATGAAAAAATGAAGGTTCGAAATTTGCCTTTTGACCAAGAGAAAAAAAAAGCCATTTCGCTCGCTGCAATTTTCCCATTTTTGCTCCCAGTCCTACAGTTTTCTCTTCTTCAACAAAGGTCATGTACTATCTTGTGCTCGCAAAATATAAATAGATAGATGATATAGAAGCAGAATAAAATTTTGTCCTCGCGTTCATCAATGCCGGTTCATGGTCTTCGTCAACTTTTTGTTTTTTCTTCGATTCCTAAGAATGGGGTTGACGGGAGAAAACCTATAAAAGATAACTTCAGAGCCAGGCTGCTTTGTTTCAAATAGGACAAGTATGACAGCATATCAAAAGTTGCAAGCCTTTCCTGATGCAAATGAAAAACGAACTTCAACAAACAATTTGGATGATTTACATTTGGTGACAGGAATGCCTTGGGACAAACTCAAAGAAAGCCATAAAACACGACGAGCTTTTGCAGTCATTAAAAAATTTCCTAGAGACAATCGTCAAAGACTTCTTAAATTTACGCAAATTAGGCACAGACGCAATCATATTACTTTCTAAGTGCTTTGAAAGCCCAGCTATATTTGCTTTGCTTCGTCGTAATACAACTAACTTGTTATAAATTTTCCACCCACGCACTTCTTTTATGCATCGAGATTACCCATACTGCACAATAACGGTTCAGAACAAGTTGACAGACATGCCATTTCCCGAGATAAATTAATTGAGATAGATGTAGAACAGGTCTTGAAAGGATTTCTGCTCTGCTTTCCCATTAATTTTACGCGTAGTGAAGAAAATAGCGCAGCAATGCAATTACGAACAGAAATATTTTAAATTCTCGTCCAAGCTGATTCTCTCTCTCCCTCTTACCGCGAAATTTTTGCCACAGTGCTTTTTCCCGTTCCAAAGAAACCTAAAATAATGAATAATCAGTTCTTGCACATGACCCACGCTGAATATCAGTCTAAAAATGAAATACTGCACCTAAAATGGGGTTGCAAGTTCTTCCATTCTAAGATGTGCTCCCACAAAAGCGGATTTTTGCAAGGGCTTTGGTACAAAATTGAAGTTTAGTAATTTTGAGTACACAATCCACATTATCCTTGAATATTTTGGAATGTTCTGGTTTATTCCGGACAATTCCTGTAGTTTGGGTAAATCAAGGCATTAAATACATTAATCGAAAAATGAAATCAGTATCATTCAATTACTTCAAGTTTTATCTGATGTGAAATGAAGGATGATAGTACAATAATTCTATAGTCACTACTTGTATAGATTATGCTGAGAAAATTCCTGACTGCTGCCAGACTCTAACCAGGAACTTTTGCACCATGAACTATGCCTCAACTGGATAGACTGCCCTGCACTTGACGTTGGACCTAGATGACATGGGGTCATATAACTTTTATGCTGATAGCAACACCTAGGCCACATCAGACAAACGTTACACGAAATCCTTATTGAAGCTTAAGACCCCTGTAGGATCCTACTGGTTGTTCCTCCCACTGCGGACATTAACAATCAAATGAGATCTAGTAACTTGCAATAGCTTTTTTATTTACTAGAATATTTCCTTTTCGAAAATGTGCTATAAATCTAATGAAGAAAACTCACGCAAAAAATGAAAAAATGGATTGACTCAGTTAACAAACAACGTGATTTTATTGAATCATCAGCTTGCTCTAAACTTGATTTTTATGGAATATAATGTTTCAATGAATTTTGTGTGTGTGTGTTGGGTTTTTTTTTTTTTTTTAGTTATTGGATCGACTCGGCGAAAGAATGGTGGGAACCCGTTTGGAAGGAACAGTTGATCGGCTGTTTGGTGGCTTAACTATAGTCAGTATTTCACATTTATCCAAATTTTCGATTTACTCACATCCTCAATTTATTGATCCCCTCTTTCAGAACTATTCAAGATGTCCAAAAGTGAACTGGAAAAATGAAAGAGTAGAGCCGTTTCAAGACATCGGTCTGAATATCAAAGGAAAGAAGACAAGTGAGTCCTTGGCGTATTTTGCACAGCAAGAATTTGATTTAATCGTTTTAAAATTATTTTTTTTTTTGGATGTGTAGAGCAATGAATTCAGTATTTAAAACTAATAACTTTTGAAGATTGGAGTCAGCAGCTGCGAGATTCTTTCCAGCTAAACTTTACGGTCTCGTGTCCGATTTTTTCTGGAAAATACATTTTTGCGAAATTTCTGGAGAACAGTGAAACTACGGAAAACCGTTTATAAATTTCATGATTAAGCAATAGCCGAAGTAAACAGCTGGTAATCATTTTGCATCAATATTTAAAATTTGCAGAACCATTTTAACAAGTATGGTCATTTGACTTGTTATGAACCTTGCCTTTGAGAGGTACAGTATATGACTAATAACGTATCAAAGAAAAATGATGACCATTTGAAAAGGAAAATGTTTCATAGGCTTTTAATTAATTTTCCAGTCATCGATTCCTTCCAACACTACGTGAAAGTGGAAAAGTGCAAAGGAGCAGACAAGATTCAAACTGAGGAATTTGGACCTCAGGAAGGCGTAAAGGGAATGATTTTCAAGCATTTCCCACCGGTCTTGTACCTCATCATGGGTCGAATATCCTTCGACATGAAGCAATTCAAGTTTTTGAAAATTAATGACAAGTATATAATTGATGCTATTTTATTTTCATTTTCTGCTGGGAGCCTTGGTTAATTTTTTTTTGTCTTTTTGGACTTTTCCAGAGTGATTTTCCCGGTCAAGATGAATCTAGACAAGTTTCTGGACGAGAGGGTGGAAGAGAAGGCAGACTTTGTCATCAGTTCTGTTCTTGTGCATATTGGGGATGCCAACGGGGGTCATTACTTGGTCTACGTCGACCCCAAGTGCGATGGAAAGGTTGGGAAAACATGGAAAAATTCCACGTCATTTGATGTAAATTTTCTGCATTTTTTTATCTATTTATTTTATTTTACTTCAGTGGCGAAAATTTGATGACGACAATGTGTCACTGGCCACGAAGCAAGACGCTGTTGATGGCAATTACGGAGGCAAAGGAACCCGAGAAAATCCCATGAAAGGAATGACAAACGCCTACATGTTGGTGTATTTCCAGGAATACATGATGCAAAAATTGACTAGAGACATTCCGCTGTCGGAGATTCCCGAAGAGGTTTGCCAAAAAAATTGACTTTCTTTCATGAATCAAAGCGCGTGAACGAGTTAATTTAATATTTAAAATATTCTTAAATACTCCGTTCACACGATCAAGTATTTTATCTATGTCGAGGCACAATCGAAACTCAAATCATTGATTTTAATTGATTTCAAATTACACCTCAAGATTTTAGGAAAAATTGTCCAGAAGGCAATAAGAAAAATTGTGATTCCAGTTCGATCTTAATTTTTGTCTTCTTTTGTTCATCGTACTTCAGCAGCGTGTATTTCTTCTTCATTTTATGCAAATATTTCCATGATTATTATGAGGCTTTGTTGCCCTCATTTAAAAATTCGAACATTAGAAGAAGTGTAACTTTGTGGATGTAAAAACAGATTTTGGCGGAATTATCATTTATGTAAACTATTTAAATTATGTGGCTGTGGAGAGTGGAGGACGAAAAGAATTTGGCGGACTTTCCAAACGAGGATTTCTAATTCAAGGAAATTATTAATTTTTATTAGTAAGAATATTAGCTATTTTACCATGTTTTTTTTAACACGTTTTTATTAACTTGCTTTCTTGTCCGTTTGTTTGTCTGGATCAAATTTTGCAACTCAAATTTTGCTCACTTCCTGACTAGCTAGCAAGCTGAAACTTTCAGGATAGCTTAGAAACTGATGACAATGCAATCTTTTGTGAAAAGAAAAATAGATTAATTTTTTAATCTACTATAATTATTTTTATATGAATATACTCTGATTTTCCTTCTACTGATTTTTACTTTTATCCCAGACCATCTAAAATCTGTTGCATTCTGTCAAATATGATCTGTAAGTCAGGAAAGTTTGTGATACAAATTAGGCCAAATTTGAATTTGATTTGCAAACTGTCACAGGCTTTTTTTACTTTTCTGAATCCACTGCACCTGCATGCCATGTTGGATCACAGTTGAAATATGGGTGACATCTGCCGGTTGCGAGAACCGGAGCAGTTAATGAGATGAGCCATAACCTTTCTTTTTCAAATTTAAAACACGAAAATCAATGAAATGGAAATTGAAGTTGCTGAAGTGTCTTTCATTTCTATTACGATGCTATAGTGGTGTTGATACTGTTGACTAATAATCATGCTTGTTTTTTTTTTTAGATTGTTGCCATTTTTGAAGGTGAAAAGGCAGAAGACGAGATAATTGCCAGAGAATGGAGCAAGCGATTCCAGTTGATGACAGTGAGGTGTCTCATAGAGGCTGGTCTCAGTTCCCATCAAAAGCCAGATTTGTATGATCCCAAAAAGCCGAGAGCTTTGGAGTTCAGAGTACCAAAAACCGAGTTGATGAACAACTTCCTCAAGAGACTCCAGTCAGCTTTTGTGAGTCGAGCATTTCTTTTAATTTCTTTCAAATGTGTATGCATCCATGTCAGATGTTCAGTGTTGTATTTCATGTTGTATTGCATTTTCTTCTATTTTTGTTAGCAATTTGTCCTTTCCTGCTCTGAAGTGATTAAAATGTCTTCAAGTGGATTTGGGTGGGGTGGGGGGGGGGGGAGGTTGGTTTGGTTGTGGAAATCTTGAGTGAACCTTGTGAATGCTGAAAAGCGGCAAATGAAGTGTTCTGTTCTCAAATTTAAAAGGTAGGAGTGTCAAAAGCAATGAGGACAGACATGAGGATTCAAATGTCTCAATGCATTAAATAGGTCCAAGCACTAAATAGTCACGCATTTTGAGACATCAATTTGTGATAATATTGTATCTTTGATAATTTCCGTCTTGGTGATTGAAATATTTTTGTATGAGGAACCTGAAATTAAATCCTCCAGCATCATACAAACATAGCCATCTCAATTTTCATTAAAATTCCAGCTGTTGCGGATTTCATCCTGTGAAAATAAGGGATTATTTTTGTGAAAGTAATCGGATTAATTATCATCAATGAATTCTTTTTTGTTTTGAATTGCCAGTTTAATGCATTATTGATTGAATCCTTTACATGGATTTACTGTATTTATGCAAGTACCCCGCGACATTGAGTAAGGCGTGCATAGGGGTTTTTCAGTTCAAAATTTGACTAAAATTGTATCCCCGAGTAAGATGCGTGCCCCATTTTTAGGGACTCTGAATCCACAAAATTTTGAAAATAAAAACAAAAAATTTGACATGATGTGAATTGAACATGAATCTGATCAAATTTCAAAATTTTCAGTAAAATAAGTGTTCTTGGTACATTTTTCACATATTTCTCAATTATAATCAAGTATAATTAACACACAACTTCCTAAAACTTCTTGACAATTGTGTACCCGCTTATGACGCGCACCCCTTTTTTTCTTCTGAAATTTGAGAAAAAAGGTGCATGTGGTATGGAAGTAAATATACAGGTATTATTTTCTCCAGGGTTATCCGCCAAAAGCACTTCGGATCTGGCCGATTTCCCAACGCGAGGGACACTTGACCATGCGAGTTAATTACTTCAGCATCGAGGAACAGGGAACTCTAACCATAGCACAGGTTTGAGAACTGATTCCCACATTATTTATTACACAGAAAATAATATGTTTTACTTTGTACATATTTTTTGCGAATATTAAGGCGGCAGAGAGGAAGGCGACTTGGGACGTGTACTTGGACCTGGCTAGACCCTCTACGGATCCCCATTTGGAACCTCATGACCCAAGCAACAGTTGCTTTTGCTTCTTCAAATACTTTGACCCGACTCAGGCCAAGCTCATCTACGTCGGCGCCAAAAGCATTCCCCACAGCTATTCCACAAGTACAGTTCGGAAACTGATTAATATTTTTTTTTTATTTGCTGAAAGTCATCCGCTCCATTGAGATTTGAATAACTCGTGATGAATGAATCGTTTCTCATTGTTTTTTGTCTGTTTCTTTGAAGATCAAATGAAGGCAATTGGGGCAAAAATGGCCCACTTGCCTGAAGATTCGTACATTGACCTGTATCACGAAGTGAATCCGGATAAAGTTGACTTGGTCAATTTATGGGGATTCACGAGAGTTTTCAAGGTGAGCTTACTTTCTGAAATGTCTTTGGCTTTCAAAATTCTGTGTTTGAAAATTCACTATTCAACCACATAAAATTATTTCAGTTTTCCATGATATTTTTAATATTAGGGCTGTTTTTTTTTTTCTGCAATTCCATGCTACACCCCAGTTAATTTTTTTTTACTGATTGTACAATATCTGATTACTGTTGAACAATGTGTTCTTACTTTAATTTAAAGGGGGGTGTTCAGTACTTGAAAATCAGTTAGAGCTCAGCTCAGCTAAATAAATATCATGAACCATTCCACATTGACTAATCTGCTATAAGTTTTAATTTCTAGCTTACCACTGATGAGATATCCCCCTTGATTGTGTGTCCCATACTCAAACAGCACCAGCAATCTTTTTGGGTAGGTTTTTGGTCCAGGTGGTACCTTGTAATTTCACCCTAATCCACTGCTGAACTAGGGTTAAATTGCAAATTGGTTGAATTGCAAGAAACTCCATGAAATTCAAAATTTCAAGTATAAAAATGTGAAAAAACTGCCAAAGCTGGTCAAATTGTGGGGCTAAGGTCAAATAGCAAATCAACTGTCAAATTGCAGGATGTTCAAATTGCAAGGTACTACTGTACTTCACCTCTATTTATTGTAAGAAACTGTTCAAGTAAGATAACAAAATTAATTTTTTATATTACAAATTTTGAACCCCTCACACCAACAAGGTTTTCCCCTTGATTGTTAGTCCCATACTGAAACAGCACCAAAAATGTATATGAAGGAAAAAGGGAACTGATGGCTTTTATTTGAAGAGCTTCTTTTAAATGTGATAACTAAACTAAATTTCAATATTACGAACTTATCATGTCTAATTGATCCGTTTTAACAAATCAGATTGCAGAAAAGGTGGAAGATGGAGAAATCTTCTGCTTCATGTTGTGGCAACGCGGAGAATTCGACTACGCGAATCCCGCCGAATTTTTACTGTGAGTATTGCAGCGTCATCTACACACCAAAGATGGAATATTCATTTCGATGTCAATGCATGTGCAGTACACAGATGTCGAAATCGTTTTTATCGTATGCTTGATTCTATGACAGGGACCAATCCTCGCAGCTCGTTGTCACGTACGTCGACAATATGGCTCGACCGAAAGATCGCGGAGTGAAGATCGACACTTCCATAAAATTCAAATATGATCAAATTCGAAGGTTCCTTGGACGACATATCGGCGTCAGTCCTACACATCTGAAGCTACACAAACCGAATCAGTAAGTTTTTGTCTTTGCTTTGTTTCATTTTCCTGGAAATCTCTTGACATTCAAATATTCTTACTGTGTTTCAAACTCTGGCTTTAAAATTACTTCGCATGGTTTTGTTTCTGTTATACCTTAGCTGAGTTGAATAAGGGCAAAATTGATTACATCATATTGTAATCTAAGGAGTTACGGTATTCATGAGTGATTCTATAGTATATTTCTGATGGACCGACAAATCGGCTGAAAAATTTGGATTCCAGAATATTTTATGCGGCATATATTCACAAAATTTTTATGTCGGATGAGATTTTAGGCGAACGTTTCACGAGACATCTTCTGGAAAATTTTGCAATACCTTTTTCACAATAACTTTAGTACAGTGCCTATTTTTAAATCCTTTAAATCATATTCAATTCGAACTTCAAGGAACCAGAAGAAACTGGATTTAGGGAGATTTTCAGTTCCGAAAATCTCCCTATATATACGTTCCATTTACGTTCTTGGGGAAGGAAGAATAATTAAAAGAAATACTGTAGTACTAATTGATGCTCTATGCCCTAAATTACTTCTTCAATGAGTTGATAGGATACTGAAAATTTAAAAACTAAAGGTTAATTTTCCGAAATTCTTTACATTTCCTTTACAAACGCATCAAGTTACATCTACATCAGGTATATTTTGCATGTCAATAAGATAAGCACTCACAAAATGTTCGTCATGGAGGTTTGAGGGTTTTAGTTAGAAAGGCTTTTAATGCCTTGTCTCTTGAGGAAATTCAAACAGAGATTTGAATAAATTCGAATTATATACAGTCAACCCCCGTTAAACCGCCCCCCAATAAACCGCCACCCTCTGTTACTGCCAACTTTTCCTCCCAAACAAATCTTCCTAATTGTAAAGCCTAAGGAGACCCCCGTTAAACCGCCAACCGCCATCGGCCAACTTTTTTAAAAGAACAAACTGGATATTTGCATTGTTTTTACCCCGATAAACCGCCAATGTTCTTTTCCTCTGTCCAAGGCAATTGAATTTTAGAAGCTTATCCAAGGTGGCATGGCCAGAAAAAAAAATCACAATTCATTATTCAGGAATGAGCACTCATTGAACAAATTTGTAGATAGAAAAAGTTGTAAATTTTAGAATACAAGTAACATTGTGGTTGAAAATTTTAAATATAATTTCATTTTATGAATTTCCTGGTGAGACAGAACAGATTGACTTTGTGCTCAACTTGTATGCCAAAAATAATTCCTTCCAGCCTTTCATTGCCCCATGCTCCCCTCCACCTCAATATTTGTGTACAGAGTTTCATTCAAGAGAAATTGGAAAAATGGAAAACTCATCCACCCCTCCTTATATTAATCAAATCAATTTAAATTAACCTGCCCCCAAATAATCCAAATTTAAGTACAGTAACCCATCCTAACTAACTTTGTAAAAGTTTCTCTTCAAACTCAGCATACAATTTTTGTTTTGCTGTGTCTTAATATGTATACAATGGGAGAGCTCCCAAGAAACAAAGAATGACCTGGCAGGTGGAGAAGGGTGGGCATTGGAACTTTTTTTTTTCAACAGGGGCACCCTCCCTCAATAAACCGCCAACCCCGTTAAACTGCCAAAATTCTGCTGCACTAACGTTGGTGGTTTAACGGGGTTTGACTGTAGTTCATTTGACTCAATGTGGTTCGTGTTATAAAAATATTACTGTATTCCTTTTTTTTCTGAATGAAAATAAGCCGGTGCTGCAATTTCATTTGCCACTTTTGATAAAAACTGTTCATTCTTTCCAGCTCATCCCAGAAACTAAGTTTTAAAACTGGTAGAAATGAGATGCCCCAAAAAATCCTTTTCATATCATTATCGCTATTTTTTAATATTTTAGCGTTGCTGACAAGGCTGGAGATGTTTTGAATTCGAGTTGGGAAGGAGATGTTCAAGAATTGTTTGAGAGGTTCGACAACCGAAAACCCAAAAAGTTCTACTACGAAATCATGCCAGTTCCGACTGACGAAGTCGACACGCGAGAAAGGATGACGGTCTGCGTCTTTTTATTTATTTCTTATCATTTTTTTTTCAACAAATTGTAAGTTTTTTCTTCTAAAATGAAACATAGGTGTCGTATATTGATAATTTGTACGTGGAAACGACCGACATCACGGTTTATCCGCCAAAGGGCTCCAACGTAGACGCTTTGCTGGAGGAGGTGAAGAAGGACTTTGATGTTGAAATGGGTCTTCGAGGAGGTTCGAAACGCTTCAGGATGTTGGATATTGTCAACTTCAAGATCACCAGGATTTTCGAAAACAAAACCCCACTTTCCAATCTGCAGGCCAACAAAAGATACCGGTAAATTCCATTTTTTATCATTCATTTATTTATTGAGAGTTATTTTCTATATGGTTTTCATTGTGTTCTATTTGATGTACAGTGAGAGCCTTAGATGCAGACATACCGTAATTGGTGCATCAAGAGTGTCCCTAAGTTGAATTGTCCCCAAGTTGAGTCTTGCTTTCCCATAGACTTACATTATATAATTTTCAACTGGTGTTTTAGGGAAGGAATATTTTTCAGAATTCCATGGAAAAAAAATTTGTGTGCCACTTGGATCTGATTCACTGAATAGATTTTCAACCCAATGCAAACATAAGGAGCATTGAATAGTGTTGCGAATTTTTTAGTTCTATTTTTAGTAAATGAGATTGAGAACCCGAATTCTCGTCCTTGAGGACAAATTCCACTTTCCGTTAGAACCTTGGAAAACCTCGGTTCTCATGTAACTTACGGAAGCCTCCAAGGCTGCCTTTCTCTGCTAATCCTATTTGCTAAATCTCGTCCTTTACTTTCCGTGAGAACCTCGGAAAACCTAGGTTCTCATGTAACTTACGGAAGCCTCCAAGGCTGCCTTTCTCTGCTAATCCTATTTGCTAAATCTCGTCCTTGTAGGACAGTTTTCCTGTTTCCAAAATTCATAATGATCTACACAGTCCAGTCTCTGCTTTCGAGTGTGCGGTTACTCCGAGATTTCGCAAGCAATTTTCATCTAGTGTTGTTCAAATCCTACAAATATATCAACTTTATAATAGGGTGTTCTCACCCCGGTCGCAGCCCGACCGAATTCTTGAGTTTCATTTCAAAACCTCTATCCTAAAAATTCACCTCCAAAAGTTCTACAACTAAATTCATTATTTGTTGGGTTTATTCCTGACAAATAGTATACCACTGTACAGTTCATTGAAATGTTGGCATCTGTGAAAATAGCATCCTAGTCACAAAAGGAGAAGGAAGTCCCTCTGTGCTATAGGTAATTTATTTTTGAATTAGCTGAATGGATGGGAAAGTGATGGGAAAAGTACAAAATAATTTTTCTTACATAGATCTTAGGGTTGGATATACCTGTTTCTTGCAATTAAGCCCAATGAAATTCAATTTTCCTAAAAATTATTGGCATTTTTATCATGCAATGTCCTCATGTTGAGTCAGTGTCCCCTTGTTGGGCCTTTTTTATGATTTTTTTCATTGAAAAATAAATGTCCCTATGTCGAATTGTCCGCATGTGGGATCTCACTAAGTAATTTTTTTCTGGAAAAATTGTAATGAGTATTTACTCTCATTCAGTTCAAGAAATTATTGATGGGAATGATTTGAATCAGGGATGACTTTATTTCTAGAGGATTATGAAAATACTGTATTTTAATTATGATTGTCATCGCATATGTTTTAATTCCTTGCGTCATTACCTTCTCCTGCAACCTACCGAGGTAATTAAATCTGTTTAAAACTTCACTGGTGAGATTAAAAATATGTATATTCTCATACATGTCTTTTCAATTTTTAAACCTTTTTTATTCAAAAGCTTGCCTTTTTAAAATTTAGGTTCCCTAGAAGGCAGTTATTTAGTTAAGCTTAAATGAAAATTAAGCGTTGAATATGTTTTAAAAACAAGCAGCAGAGGTTTCTGAAAGAAATTGTTAGGATTTGTTCGCATATAAATTATTCAGCTGCATGTACAATTTTTTTAGAGTACGCATCGAATAAGAGAAACGTATTTTACTAAATAAAATAGCGATCTGCTTCTCGTTTCGTGTGACACCATTGGAGATCCGTGGATTCACGAGACAGCCATCTGCATTATCCAAGCGTTGACTTCATTCAATTTTTTTTTTTTTTTTTTTTTTAGAGTGGAAGAAGTTTTTGCTGAGGAATTGAACCTGCCTGCCACCAGTTGCTTGATGCAAGTAGTTCACTTTAACAAGTCCCCGGCTTCTCTTCACGGTCATCCATTCTTCATCCGAATTGAAGATGTGAGATTTATTTTCAAGTATTTTTTGTGCTACTGATTTTGTCGAATTTCGTAAATTAAACCAAATCCGAATGATTCGTGCGTTTGACGTGAAATAGGGGGAGAGCTTTTCAGGATTCCTGGACAGGTTGCAAGACAGAAACGCCATCACGGATGTCGATTTCGGTTTGGTACGTAAAAAAAAAAAAAAAAGCAGTAGTTACGCTCAGATTTTTATTCTTTTTTATAATGGTGAATTTGCATATGCAGTACAAATTTGCACTCGTGAAAGGAAACAAGGCGGAGTACGTGACGCCCAAGGATTACACCAAGATCAAGATCAAGGATTTCAAGAATAATCTCGGTGGGTTGCAATTGATTTTTCCATTGTATGCTTTCAAGTTACGGAATTTTCTTGACTGTATATATTGACTTGCGTGTTTCTTTGTTTGCTCCAGAAATGTTTTTTGGGATGGACCATGCTAAGAAGTTCAGACAGCGCAAACGTCCAGTTGGAATTGTGAAGGGACCAGAAGATGTCAGAATGAAGATTGGTTGATCGTCGCGATGCTTGATTGTGATCATGCTTTTCTCTCACCTTTTATTTATTCTTGTTTATTGTTTTACATGTGTATTTCTTTTTTTTTTGGACGAAGTGGTTCCATAGCATTTGCATGCAACATATAGAGGAAAGTAAAAAGTTCGAGTATGAGGACTGATTCATAGTTGTTACTCAAAAATTTGTTTTGAATCACATGGGAGAGGCAAGCATGTGCAGGTAGAATTTTTTTTACAACTGATAGAATCAAAAGCTTGATTTTGATTATACAGTGGCCCCCCACCTAACAGACCTCCTGTGTAAGGGATTTTTGCCAAACAGACCAGCTCTGCAAGCAGTTTTTCCTCCCCCTAACTATTAGTGTTGAAAATTGAAATTTTTAATTTTTTATGTAATTGAATTCATGTAAAGGACTTTTTGTCTAACAGACTCATCCCTTGCACAAATGAAGTCCGTTAGACAGGGGTTGACTGTATACTGTATGAGTACTGTATGTCAATATGCTGTTCTTGTGCATCTACAGTTGATGAATGTAGTTTTACCTAACCTTTTTTTGCCTGCACGCCAGCAAATTCCCATGAAATCGTTAGTGGACTGGCTAATTTGGAGAATTATTTCTGAAGACAGGAAAAGTTTCAGAAAACATTTGCAGACTCAAGAAGTTTTGTTTGAAAGACTTTATAAAAGATCTCTAAAATGTGTCTGCCTTTTGCAAAAATTAAGTCAGGAAATAGTAGATCAGTTATAGTGAAATGTCTTCAGAAAATTAGAAAGGTGGGCTTGAATAAAGGTTTAGCAGAAAACCTTGATATAGTTGAATAATTTATTTCAATAGTTGAAAATTGTCAATCAAACTTATCTTTTTAAAAGATCTGAAATTCCAGAAAGATAGTTGAAGTTAAGACTTCACTGCTAATTTTGATAGATTTATTATGCTACATTATAATGCAGTGCTCCCAAACCCATGGTCTGCAGACTGGTGCTGGTCTGCATAAGTTTTTTGCTTGTCCACAGGAAATATCCAGCATAATAGATATCAGAAATTCTAATGAGGTCTGTTATTGTTATCTCATAGTTTGGAAAAAACATTGGAAGTTGAAATTATGTTGTTAAAATAAGCTTTTCCCTTATTAATACTCAAAAATAATTTTCACCGGCTGAAATAAATTATTTCCACTTTCCCTTTTGGGAAAATTTTTTTTCAAGCCCAGCTTTCTAATTTTTTTGAAGACTTTGCACTCCACTGGTTCTCAACTTAATTTTTGAAAAAAAAAATATTTGTTCAGAGGAATCAATGGGAGGTATTTAAAATTGTTTGCCAGTCTGCAAACATTTTATGACATGCTAGCAGTCTGCAGAAAATGTGGAAATATATACTGGTCTGCAGAAAATTTGTATGACAATTTGCTGGTCTGTTGAGTCCAAAAAGGCTGGGGAACACTATTATAAAGTATGCTATAGGTGGTCTCTCTCTCTACAGCAATCTTGTCTAGAATAATTTTCTCTGTTCAGTATGAAGAACTTTTTTCCAAATTTATATAGGAGTTTTCCTATAACATAGGGGATTCTCTACAAGGAAATTCTCTGCACAAATATTTTTTTCTGGTCCCTTGAATTTCGTTGTAGAGAGTACACCTGTAATAAATAGTCTTGACAGTCTGAGGAGCAGCCCTTGCATGGTAAACGTAAAATAATAAAAAATTAGTATCAACTGCAAGGAATAATCCAAGCTCGGTCAAAAAAAATTGAGTTCCCTTTTTCTTCCATTTCACCCCGTCATTTTTTATATCAATGATAAATTGAACCAAGACCAGGGAAGAACAGCTGCACAACAGACCGGCAAGAACTTTTAGGCCTGGAGGGGAATAAGAAGTCATGCTGGCGCGGTGGGACTGGAAAAGTTTTTTCCCTCTTGGCGGGTTCGTCGACCTCAGCGGGGAAACAGCTGACGCGACGGGAAGTGATGTGTGTGTGTATCCCTATCGCTAGCAGGGCGAGCCCACTTTCCTCGGATTCCATGACTAATTTCACATACCCATCCCCAAGAGGAAGAAGATATTGCTTGTCAGTTTCAGTTTGCAGCTCAAATTTGCAGAACGCGAGCCTTTTTTTTTTTTTGCGAAATTTAGTTTGACCTGAAACATTTTAAATTCGTTTTTTTTTAAATGCCATCCTTTCATGAGTCACATTATTTTTTAAAGGTATGCTATATACAGTACAGTCAACCCCTGCGCAATGGACTCAGTTTATGTGAAAAGTCTGGAATGCGAATTCAATTGTTAAAAATTAAAAAATACTTCACTTTTTATCAATAATTTTAAACAAACAGAAGTGTGTTGTGCAGATTTAGTCCATTGTGCAGAAGGGAAAACTGCCTCCAGAGGTGGTACATTGTACAAAAAGCTGATTCAAAAGGTCTGTTGTGTGGGGATTGACTGTATTTTAAATTATACATTCAAGAGATAATTATTTTGATGAATCTCTCTTTGAACTTGACTGATGACATTTCTTTCAGCATTATTTCATAGCCTTCAATGCTCTGATATTGGAGTGAGTGAGATATGATTAAGCAATCCAAAGAATTATCATTTGAATTTCAAATTGCACAGACTTGAAAATGTGTGACTGCTTAGAAGCTGTGAAAGCTGGGACTGCTGGAAAGCTATTATGAAAGCAAGCCTTGAGTATTTTTTTTTACAAAATAATTAATTTTACAACTACTGTGGGTTATACTTTAAAAAATGTTTACAAGCTTTGAAAATTTATGATTCCCAAAATTAGCTGGTGAACAAATAGTTCTATCTAAGAATTTAAAATAATTCAAGTTTCAATGCCCATAATATTTCTGGGGCAAACAAGATGAATGATTCACTCATTCAAGACCAGTTATTACACAGTCCATACTTTTCTTCCCCTGAATTTTATGCATTATACTGATATGAAATTTCTGCCGACTGATATATATAGGATTATAGGTAACTTTGAGATTGCACGTATGACTCATGAAACATTTTATTTTCCTATATGAAGTATATTCATTACTGAATTTTTGTAGCATTTACCCTTGAATCTCAAAAAAAAGATGGGCGTGATTTTCAGTAAGGTTACATAAGGCAGACTAGATTTGGGACCATAATTCAGGCTGATGCTCTTCATCATTATGCAAAAAAATGGAATATGTAATTTAAAAAAGGGAGAATATACAAGCACCATGAAATGCATCAGCAATCTCTTTCATGAGATTTTAGAAGAGCTTTTAAATTCAATGAACCAATTAAATCATTGCAGATCAATTACTAAAAAAACATTTCCTTATTTTCAATGCAAACAATCAAAAAACTCATTGCATAATTGATTACAGTGCAATAAGGATTCATTTCATGACCTGGCCTCTAACGGAACATTTTATAATGTTCTGAGTAGTATACGAGTTAACATGTTACTTAAGAAGATAAAACCAATATTTGATTACAACGTTTCCAAACGACGACGTTACTCCAGAATGAATAGAAGAACTTAAAAGAAGAGATGATAGAGTATACAAAATTACAAAAAATGAGCTCATTTGTGAGGTATTTCTTTAAATTAAATGTGATTTTTATTAAGAAAACCTTTTTGATAGTCTTGCTGCAATAAAGGTTTGATGAACAGTATACCCCCGCACAACAGACCTCCGGTACAATAGATGTTTGCACAGCAGACTGCCTCTGGAGTCAGTTTTCCCTCCTGCACAATGGACTGAATCTGCATAACAGACTTATGTTGGTTTAAAATGATGGTAATAAATAAAAATGTAAATTTTCTAAATAATTGAATCCGCACAACAGACTTTTTTGCATAACATACTAGTTTGTCGCACGCATTAAGTCAATTGTGTCAGGGAGTCGACTATACTCACCAGCATAGTCGTCAACATACGCTGTTCTACCATGGGATACTGAGTGATCCTGCTACACCCATGCTGGTCTGGTGCCGTTATTCACGTGATATGATGAGTAGACATGTAGGGATGCCAAGAAGAGTATATGGCCGACAACCCTTTAATGTGTCCCCACGACGACTAGGATTGACATTCGGCCTACTACTTAGCTTTTCGTGGACGAGAAAGGACACAGAGACCTATATCAGTATAGTCCTATAGGTATTATATGAAAAAGAAAGGGTTCGATCATGAATTTCTTTTCATTTTTTGCTTGTTCCAGAAGCTCAAGAAAACTGGAGGAAGCTTATAAACTTGATCACTACAGTATTTTTCATTCTACTATACAAATTCTTCATTCCCCCAGCATGTGATGGAATATTGAAGGAAATGTAGATATGTATGTGGTCTGCTTCACATGAAAGGAACATATTTTTGAAATGGTAATCCTTTAAAAATGCCTGATTACACCTGGATCTTGATATTCTTCATTTACGTTTCCTAAACCATATAAAGAATATCATAAAATCCCAAATGCTTATTTTCAAGTGGTGAAACAGATTTTTCAGGAAACAGAAGGGAGCTTTGAAAAGCTGGTGAATTCCCATAACAAGAATATCACTAAGGATAATTGAACTTTTAAAAACTAAGATTTGAAAAGATAAATTCAATTATTTTACTTTTGAATAATGTTCGTCTCAGGTGAATGCCTTAGACCATCCAAGCCTGAACTTGCCATTAAGGAATCTGAACATATGTAGCACAAACATTTTAAAACTAGTACTGCTTAAAAATCCAAAATCCTCATGTCTTATGTATTGCATGAAGGGTTATGCAGAAACAACCATATATACAAGTCTTAAAAGTAACGCATTCCAGGAATAAAAAAAGATTTCTTTGAAAGAGAAGAAATCACAGAAGAAAAAGGTTCCTAAGCCCCTTAGACTGAACTCAAAATCCAACTACTGTACAGTACTGAATTTGAATTTCAGACAAATTTGTAAGGAATATAAATCTCATATTTCATATGTAATATCAAAGCATTTATATGGAAACTAGTGTACTGTCATGTCTTGAAAGGGTCCATTCCCAGAAAAATATAAAAAGTAAAATAAACCAGGAAGGCTTCATCTTGAGATTGACATTCAAATATCAGAAAATCTGCAAAATTGTAGGGAAACATGATAAACTTGATGTACTTCCAGTGTCCACAAAGTGGTACAAAAACACCCAATATGTATTTAAAAAATGCCTACAACACAAAGTAAGAAAAGGCAGGTTTAAAGGCCCATACATCCAGAAACAATACCTTATGAGATGAACACCATGCGCTAAAAAAAAATTCTGTAGAATGAGCATTTGGTGTGCAATTTTTCACATTTTTACTGCAGGTGGACTCTCTCTATAACAATTTGGTCCAAAATTATTTACTCTGCAAAACATTTTCCCAGAGGGTCCTTTCATCCTCTTGATTCAAGGATTCTCTATAACAGAATTATCTCCAGGAGAACAAATTTCTTTTCCCTGGTCTCTTACATCTTAATGTTGAGAGTCCACATGTACTGTACAAACAAAATCCATATAAATAACAAATGTGTTCTTAACACAAATAAGAAACTGCGTTCTGCACTTATCAAACATGATTTGCATGAAGAACATGAAGATGAGGCTTTAAAAAATCATGTTTTTTTGCATACATAGGTAGACTCTCTCCTCAACAATCTTGTCTGCATTGGTTTTCTCTGTTGAATACATTTTATTTTGATCCAGCATGGTCACCCTACCACCTACCCCACCTATGTTCTGATGGATCTCTACAGCATAGATTCTCTTTACAAGATTTCAATTGTGCATTGAATTTCATTGTTAAGGAGTCCACCTGTACAAAGTGCCAAGATACAGTGATGAGATACTCCCATAATGCGTTTATTTATATTTCCTTCATTTTTGGTCTCTCCACTACACTGACGTTCCCCTTCAGTGAACCCAGCAATGCAGTCACAAATTAAAAATAAAATAGAATGAAAATTTAAAAAAAGTCCTTGTACAATTAATTTCATTGCTAATAAGGAGTCCACCTGTACAAAGTGCCAATGTACAGCGATGATGTACTCACATAATGCGTTTATTCATATTTCCTTCATTTTTTAGTCTCTCCACTACACTGGCGTTCCCCATCAGTGAACCCAGCAATTTGGTTCCATATAAAAATAAATAAAATATAATAAAAATTAAACAAAAAATGTCCTTGTACAATGAATTTCATCGTTAAGAAGTCCACCTGTACACAGTGCTAATGTACAGTGATGATGTACTCACATAATGCATTTATTTATATTTCCTTCATTTCTGGTCTCTCCACTACACTGGCGTTCCCCTTCAGTGAACCCAGCAATGCGGTTCCAAATTAAAAAATAAATAAATAAAATAGAATAAATAGTAATAAAAAAAAATAAAATGTCCTGCTCCCGCAGCAGGCACAGAGCCAGCAGCAGAGGGAGAAACGGGGTTGTTGAACTCTCTCGTTGGGGGCTGGAACCGTTTCCTGGACTGAAGCTAGTTGCTCTCGACCACGTTACTGGCTTCAGTTCTGGGTTCTGCTCTGGGAGTTCAGTGCTCCGCCGGCCTGGATCCGCTACGGGTCTCCGCAAGCAACCGGGGCCCGGCGTTTCGCTGCTTCTATATATCCCCTATCTCGAAACGAAAGCCCCCTAAACCTATGTGTACAAGACGGTTCATGTTTTCTCAGTGTCTGTGACGAGACAATATCTCGTTTTTACTACGAAAAAAAAAAAAAAAAAAATCTCCACACGACAAGACCTGACAAGAAAGAAGAAGGACAACAACAACCAAAGAACCGCAAAACCTGCAGCAAATTTACCACTTTTCCAGAATCCTTCATTTTGTTCCTTGATTGAAAAGTCAGGTTGGGGAAAAAATGAAGGATTGAGTTGGTTGAGGATCATCCCGTGGTTATCCTTGTCTGGATGGGTTTCTTTTGACAAAAAAAAGGAATTTTCCTCTGACTGGTTTCAACTTCTTCAGTTTCAAGAGGTGAGGTGAATATCATCTTTATTATCAGGAACGAAACGAGATATTTTTCTGTAGTGACGAATGCTTTAGAAATACATCCGGTTTTTCTTTCGAGGAAAATTTCAATGCAATAAGACCATTGGCATTTTTAATGGTGAATATACAAAAAAAAAGTTGATGCAGTGCAAAAAACTTGACTCTTCATGCGAAAATAGTCATGCTCACATCGAATAAAAGTACGTTCCGTATATAAAAAAATAGTGTTTAAATTAAGAAGTCAAATTGTAATCATGCACGACGACGGAAAAATCATCATAATAAAATTATCTTTTTGGTGAAATCGAAGCGCTTTCAGATGAACAGGAGCGAGTTATAAATAAATTTTCTATAGTTTGGGTTCATCCACCAGAAACAATAAGTTGAAAGAGCATCTTTGAGAAATTCGTATTCACAAAAGAGAAAGATTATCTTGCTTATACCCTGGCGATATTATTAAAAATTCAGGAAGTGGTGTTTCAAATCTCAATGTGAAATGCTACAGAGAATAAGCACAAGGAAAAAATCGCAAAAATCTGCATTCGATCTCAATGTGAGATTTCTAACGCGCATTTACTGATTTAAGTAGTGGTTTGAATTTGACTATATGGGTTAGTTGAATAAAACTCTTTGTAAAATCTCTTCGAGCAAAAAAAAATGTAAAAATTATTTCTCACTGCGAGGGTGTTTTTGAGCATCCAGATACAGTTTAAAATCTCAATTTAAAATTCTAGCGAACTACAACGATGAAATCGCAAAATACAGTGTCAATTTTTCTATGAAAGAATTAAAATTCATACAGTATATGCCAAAAAATATATATCACCATCGATTACTTTTTTGTTTTGTCGAATAGGAATCTGCTTAAGTAGATAGGAAAAAAGCGCGGTTTCATGGGGTGGGATCAAACCTGAGAGAAGTACAAAATACAGTAAATTTTGAAAATGTGTGTATTTGCGAAAACTCATGAACTGAGTGGCAGTGCATCAAATTCTTATTTGCCTCATACAGCATTTTAAAAATGATCAATGGGATCAATTTAAGCAAAGGCAGTTCAGAGCACTTTTTAGAATAAAACTGTGAGACTTATCCTGAAACTCTTCAAACTAGCTTCAAATCAGAATTTCTTCGGCATTTTTATCTGGGATTGTTGAAGCGTAATTTATTGTGTCTCAATTTTTTGAAACCAATAATTTCAAATAGCTTTCGATGCTGCATTTTTTTTTATTCTTGAAGAGCTGCAGAGCCTCTGGAAAGCTGTATATTTTAGATTACAACACCTGAAATCCTGAAATCATGCAGCAAATTTCCGTTTTTTTCTGCGCATATTGGACGCACAATTAATACTTTTTTACACAGTATTTTGACACGAAAGATATTGAAAGAAACACAGATTGAATACATATGCTGTTAATTATGGTCCCGTTCCTCTGCCTCGAAACCCTCAAGCATATTTCTTTGTAAAAAAAAAAAAAAAAAAAAAGACAGAACTCGTAAAATTCAAAAACCTCTGCCCGAGATTCTGTTCCATTATTTTCCCTTTGAAATTCTGCCCAGATTACCGTAGTATTTCTTTCCCCCCATTTGTTAGACTCAGAAATTAATTTTTTTTTTACACATTTCAACGCCAAGGAATGGAAGAAAAAACAAATGTAAAAAAACACTTTCATCAAACTCTTGCGGTCATTTTTCTCTCGCAATATTCATTACCCCTCATGAAACACTTACACAGCCAAACTTTAAATTTTCTGACATTGTCGAGAACTCTCTGCTGTTGATTCGTTGAATTATTATCAATCCAATGACCCCCTCATCTTGATAAACCTAGAATTCTCAAACAATTTCAGGCTGCAGATGATACTTCTTTTTGATATTAAAAAAATTAAAAGACTGGCAAAATTTTTAAAAGTAATTTTATAATCTTGAGTAGGGTGTGTAGAACATTATACAGAAGACATTCGCCCCCCACTCTCTATCTGCTTCCCCCGATGCCTGGAAAACGTGCAGGAACAAGCCAGGATAGATACAAAGTTGCTTTCGGGTTCCCTTGGAGAAGTTCCCGGCCTCTCGGGGTCAACGACCCAGGGTTGTACCCCATACACTCCCTTCGTTTCGTTTTCTGCGCAAGACTCGCTCTGTTGCATCAACCGTGTGTTATACTGTACGTATTCTGTGCTTCATGTGTACAGTACAGTACAGTACAGTATTGTACAGTACAGTAAGCAGTGCCCCGTTAGAAGAATAATTGGGGGTGGAGGGGGGGAGGACACTCGGTTTCCTACGAGCATGTTGCCAAGATTGCGTGGAATGCTCAACAGAAAAAAATAATAAGCTGAACCCGAAATGGTGGGCGCAAGAGACGTAGTACAGTTGAACCTGTCCAAGTCGAATTTCAAAGGACCACAAAAAAAATTCCACTTAGGGAGGTTTTGACTTGAAGAGGTTTTGAATAATGGAGGTTTGAGTAATTAACAGAACCAAGCATTTTTGTGATGGAAAACTTGGAAGAATGGCAGAAAATTGTAAATGATGATATTCTGGGCATTAAATGCATCTCATATGAGTTTTGACAACCAGGATGCTGAACTTGGGAGGCAGGGACTAAAGTTGCCCACTTTAGTTTTTCCTTTCCTTTCAAAAACCATGAAATTATGTTTTAAATGCTTCTTTCTTATCTTTGTCAAGAAAAAAAATAGCTAAATGGCCTCCAAAAATTTTTTAGTTAGAGAGGTTTCTGAGGAAAAAGCTTCTATAGTTAAGGAGCTTTTTAATACATTGTTCCTAGGGGAATTCAACAGGGACTTAGACTTAGGGAGGTGTTTGCCTTAGCAAGGTTTGAGTTATCCAGGTTCAACTGTATCTTAGTTTCCTCATTTTGTGTTGATTGAGACCTGGCACATTTTCAAAGAACTGTTTTTGATCATGTAAAACCTGCATGGAAATTGCTTCTTGAGTCTTTCTGTCTATAGCCAATTTTCCTACTGATGACCTTCCCTACTTGCAATTAAACATTGAATTCCAATTATTTGCAACTTAATCATTTTTTGCTGATCCAGCAATGTCTCATGTTGTCAGTTCTTTTTTCTGAAAATTTACATTTCCCCGACTTTGATACAGAAATTTCATTTACTTTTCATGACTTGTGTTGCTGATGCAATCTGAAAATAAGAGCTACAGTACTTGAACAGGAAGAATTACTCCATTTTACAAAATGAAAACAGTTCAACCCTTCCATGTTCAACTTCACTAAGTGAAAAAAACTTCCATTACAGTATTTGAATTTTAAGTAAATCATTGGCGAATCCCCTTGAGGCCAATGCATTTTCAGCCTCCTTGACTCTAACGTCGCAGAGCTGAAGTTTACATTGTCCTTGCTGTGAAATTAAACTGCAAACTAAATTTAAAACACAAAATCCAGAACATGCTCAAACACGCATTTTAATGCTTTCCTTACTTGGCATATTCCTGCTGGAGGTATAGGGCATCTTAGAATGATAAACTCATTTGATAATGATGCCAGAAAATTATTCTAATTGGATAATTAGAATAATTTATATTCTCTGTTTCAAAATCTTTTGAAGTCCAATTCTTTTTTAGTCTCTTTGAAATTCAACTTTAAATGGTCCAACTATGATATAATAACGTATGACTGGTTGTAAATATACAAAGAAACATGGTGGAGTTGAAGAAAGTATCATGGCGAGGTCATGACAGGTCAAGTCAGGTCATGAGCCTAAGATCCAGAACAGGTTGAAAAAAGCAGGACTTTTCAAGGATTACTTTGGAATGATCAATATTTTTCACCACAGTCAAGGCCCAGATTGAGTCACAAGGACGATTTCACAACAAGCCTCTTCTTTGAAAAGCCGCAAAAAGAGAAATCTTTTACTATTTATTGACGGAAATATAACATGTAATCAGTCATAACTTGTACTTGTTTGTTTATTCACCTTTCGTACCTAATTTTTACGTATTATTATTTTATAACAACGTCACTGTTTGTAGATCTTAAAAAATCGGGTTATTAAGATTTCCACATTAAATAAATTTAATAGTAAATTAATGATTACAAGTCTGAGTTATTTTTCAGACAAGCCAACCTGTATTTGATAATT